CAATAGTATGAAATCTGTCCCATGCTGTAAATTGTTGTTTAGTGTTAACTTGGGTTTACTACCACATTGAATATGTCATGCATGTTTTATATAAATACAGCATAAATTATTGGTTTGTCCACAACAATATCTGCGATTTCCTTTCATTTGGGTTGTAGGTCCTATTAAACAAGCCAGAGCTTACACCGAGAACAAACACAGAAAAGCTAAAAATCTCAAGACAGTGACAAAATCCCTGAAATTAAATTATCATATTTAATGATGAAAGATGATCATTTCAGATTAAAATCTCCATACTGTGTATTCCAAGAAAAGCAGAAATCAGGTGGACATTTGACTAATGCTTTGAGAAGTACTGTAAGAGCAGATATGAATCATGGGACATCACACTCTCCCGTCCTCTGAAAAGTCCAGGATGTGACCCAGATTTTACCCAGTAATAGTAAATAGGCCTGAAAATCTGAAATTGTTTCTGAAAGTGGGCCACATGGACATTATTTAATTTAAATTCAGGTGTGATCTCACCTGTGGCTCCTGCGTTAAGGGAGGAGAGGAAAGTAAAAAAAACAGTCTCGTGTAACAGCCTGCAAATGAACAGCACCTGCACAGACACCAGGGATAATGATTCTTGAATGAGAAAGCCAACAACTGATTGAGTGTGTCTATGTCCCATTAACTGACAGTCATGGTATCTGTAACACGCCCAAGAATGTCAAGTATGTCCTGCCTTAATATGTCAAACAGCAGTCAAAATAGTCACAGTCACTCATGTAATGAGAGGGCAACATCTGAAAATGGCGTCACTGTGCCAGGGCATAAAAAAGGATTTTATTTCAAAATATTAAATGCATGTAAAGAATGGAGGGAAGGGAAATCTTAAGCATAGGCTCTATCATGAACCAACCAGCTTTATCCTTGAAAGCACCACCTCTTTCTAATCCACGCGTCTGTATACTGTAGCATCACCGCACTGGAAAGGGGAATGACGTGATTTAAATGGGCAGCTTGGGGAGGGGATTACACGATTTGCTAATTTCCTAATGATAAAACGGTCTCTGGACTGCAGAAAGATAGGAAACACATGTGGTGAGGGATAGGTGATGCTGGGATATTAGATGCCACGTCAGGTCAGCCATGAGCCAGCCTAGCATTCAGTTTTATTAAATGTAAACACGTGAAATCAGCTCCAGATCTGGGATATTATTAAAATATGACTAGGATATGTATTTTCATGTTTGTTCTACCATAATCAAAGTATGTTTTTAAAATTAAAAATCAGTGGTGCCAGCTCAGGTGACTGACTATTCATAAACTACAAAATGGGCACTACTACTTCGACAGGAGGAGATCAACATATAAAGTAATTGTAGAGATGCAAATATCATGCGCCTAATCCTTAAATATGGAAGTAAAAGGTATCAAATAAATGTCAAGTCAGCTCTGCCAAAAAGACTCAGGTATACAATAATAAAGTGGCATGTGTTAATAAAGACACTAACCAGTTAAGGGACAGCCATTTTGCACCTGCAAATCTGTCATCTCAACTTGGTTTCATAATGCCTTTGACCAATTGATTTCCCTCAACCAGCTGGAAAATTGAAAATTGTCTAACAGTGCCCCTCCCTTCAGAATGTTGTGAGACAACAATGAGCAAACACAGGGTATCTCAGCCCCACTTACACACTGTACACCTGCTCATGTGCAGTACAGCAGTATTCCCTTATACAAACTGAACAGATGCATTGTATAAGAGCTCATTTTATGCCTTCGTTTTGCCCCCACATTATGAGTAAGATCCTTACAGGCATTCACAAGTTTCAAATTCTCTTTTAACTTTACAAACAATAGTTCAAACCTATTTTACATCCAAGTGGCGTCATCTCAGCAATGAGATGTCTGTTGGCCTGAGTGTAAAACCCAGTGTCTATGATGAGGAGCTTGCAGTGAATCAGGAAAGACACTGAAAGCTTTGGAAATAAAACAGAAGGGACAAAACAGGAGAATAGTTGTTCTGGCCTCATGCAGTGTGGACAGTGGCTGCCACCCAATGGACAAAAGGTTCATGTGCTCAGCTGCGCATACTTGGCCTAGACATGAAATAATTAAATTTAGGCCCAGAATAAATGCAGGGGCACATGTAAATGTCTTTCTTTCTCTTGAGAAGTACTACTGACCTGTTGAGAAGCAAACAAGTAAATGTTTGAGATTATATTCATTTAGTGCCAGAGACAATTACATTGGGGAGGAGATTCCTGTTTTTTTTTTTTCCCCGATAGCCGGACAGGCTCACATGTAATTACTGAGAGGGGTAGTATGTCTAAAGCAAACCATCTGATGGTACTGTAATCAGAAACCATATAATGATAAAACAGAGACAGAGAGAGAGCAGGTGTTCAACTGATACCAAACCTGAACAGTCTTATCATTGTGTTCACAGTGCAGTCCTTCAGTTACAAAAATCACAGCTGGTTTCCTGGTAACCTCACGGTGATGACAAGGCTCCAGGAAGTCACTGCACTCAGCCAAGAAATAGTCCCCTGTAAAGCCACGACTAGATCTAGATACAGATATAGATGTGATGTGTTAGTTAGTTAGAGTTTTAGAGGTGCTGCACCTTTGGACAGATCTAGGCTAGCTGTTTCCTCCTGCTTCCAGTGATTAAGCTAAGCTAACAGTCACTTGGTTGTGGCTTCACAGACAAATATGATATCGGTATCAAACTTCCCATCTAACACTTGGCAAAAAAGAGAACGATAATTTTACTAACCTTTAAATGAATTCGGCCAAAATATACTCAAGCATCACATATGGTTCTAACTGTGTTGCAGAGCTCTAGATCCAGAATCCAGATCTTATTATAACCAACTATAAATAGTGCTGTTGGTTCTAGGTCACACTCACATGCACATTTTGTGCTTTTTAAAATGGCCTGTCTAAGGATGATCATGATCAGTTGAATGTAGGACAACACAAAGAAAAGTAATTGTGTGTCTGGCTGTGCACACATTCATTCCCACAGTCCCTGGTAATTCAAAATGATGGTTACATTAGTAAAAGAGACAATGTAATATACAAAAAGAGACATATCAAAAGTTCACACCTGTTGTATTAAAGTGTAGTTCATCTTAATTCTGATAAACCATTTCTGTTTAACTTAATATTTGATCACTAGTGGCCCTTTACCACACTAATAACATGGGACGATACATGTAAATATAATAGTGCCTTCTGTACAATAGCTGCATGGCGTCATCAGAACCATATGTGTGATTTTCTGGTAATTATAGCAGCTCAGGAGGTAGAGTGGGTTGTCCACTAATCAGACGGTTTGCAGTTTGATCCCCGGCTCCTCCCGCTACATGTCCAAGTGTCCTCGAGCAAGATACTGAACCCCAAATTGCTCCCGCTGCTTTGTCATCAGCGTGTGAAGGTGTGTGTGAATGGGTAAATGTGGCATATAGTGTAAAAACACTTCGAGTGGCCGGAAGACTGGAAAGGCGCTATACAAATGCAGTTCATTTACCATACATAGGACACACAGGGTTCTGAAACAAATAAGCCTCAGAAATCGACACTAGTAACACTGGTATTATTAGCATCTCTGTTGTCACTGCTTATACAACAGCTTTGTACAGCGCACCTTTAACATATGCCAGAACAACAAGCCACATGGGTTAAGTACTGAACATTCATAACGAGCTGAGCAAATCTGACCTGGGTTTCACCCGTGATGCACTCTGAAAGAATGGAGACAATCTCCTTTAATTGCACAAAGACTAAATATATTAGTTAGTTAGTCAGTCAATTTAAAATCATTTCATCATTTTTGTGATTCTGAATAAATCTATATCTAACAACTGGCCCAATGTGGTGCTGTCAAAAGGAAATTATTTTACTGATTGAAAAATCTGCCTCAATAGTCTACATATTATTTTAGAGCTACAATTTAATTAAAATAGTGCTATTCAATAGTAGGGATGTACTAGGGATGATACTCGAATCCCAATAATAGGTTCATGACACGATTTTCTCTCAATTGTTTTAACACGATTTGATTGAAGAAAAATTCTGACTGAAGAAAACTCTTTATACATATAATGGATTTTTTTCAGTCATAATTTGTCTTCAATCTCATTTAGTTAAATACATATAAATAAAACATTCTCTTGCATTTTCACATTATAGAATCCTGTTTTTATTTCTGAAGATGGGTGTTAACTGGGCAAAACAATGCATATTTTGTTTTCTTTGTAAATGTGATACTGACGTCTTGACGCCTTACAGCTACTATCGTGAATGACTTTGTGACTCTGCTATTTAAAAAGAGTATCACAAGTCATTTTTCATCTAACTGATTTGAATCTTCACATAACTAAGTCTGGCACTTTATTTCCATGTAAGTCTATCCTTGAAGAGTAACTAATATACATTTATTCAAAACTGTCTGTAAACTCTACTACCACAAAACCAAACACTTAAGACAAGTTCAAATTCAGATGTTTGTTGTGCCAGCTAATAAAGAGTTTAACTCGATGCTGCTCTACATGTTGCACATGATTATCCAAGCCAAAGAACTGAATGGGCTGCCAGCCAAGTCTTACAAGACCATATGGCCATGGTCTGTGGTGGCGTTTGGGCCGTTGTTTCCTTCAGCGTCCTATTGTTTGGTGTCAAAGGACTGGGGGGGTTGAAGGGGGGGATTATACACAAGAACACATTCTCTCTTTCAAAACACACACAAACACGCTCCCCCATACATACAAGCACAATAGCACATTACCAGTGTCATTACAGGTCGACCCATGATCCAGACATTTTTAATCCACTATGTGCGGGTGCAAAACCACATATTTAAAAGAAAGAAATACCAAAATGAAAAAAAAAGGCTGGCATACAGTAATATATTGTTCATAATAATTGTTGATCCAAAGTGAAATCAAAGCCAACAAAAAAGGAGCATTTTGAGATGTAAGCACATATACTGTAGGTATGAAATCATGAGATGGCACTGAAGAAATAGAATCAATAAACGTGGAATTTGAGCTTAAAAGTTAGAATCTATTCACTCAACAGTACTTACATCAAAGACTTCTTTGCGCAGGCCTTGAGTAGTCCTCAGCCAGCTGCGGTTCAACTCACTCAGCTCCAAAATCGTCTGCACCTTCAGCCGGACTGTCTCTCCAGACTGACGGATCATCTCCACGATCTCGTCCCTGCTCTTGTTCTCCACATTGATGCCATTGATTTCCACCAGCCTGTCCCCCGGCACCAGGCTCAGAGCCCGGTCCTTGGTCCCAGCACCTGGTTCGGCAAAGTGCACCACACGCCGACACACTCCTCCATCAGGCTTCCTGTCCAGCATGGTGGTCCTCCGCAAAGAGAAGCCAAAATCCCCAGTGTTGCGCCGCTGTAGCTCCAGCTCTCTTGGATCTGGTATTGGTGGAGCAACGAGCACAGGCAACTGTAGGTCTGCACCTGGGAAGGTCTTCTCCACCATCTCAGGAATGTGAACCACGCCAGTGCCTTTTGGGTTGGGGTGGGACTTCAAAGAAGATGTAGTCCAGTTCTGCCCAGAAAGATTCGACGCCTCCAAAGGACCGTCCTCATTGATCTTCAGGGAAAAAGACACGTGCCTATGGCCTACCACCGAATTCAACTTGGCCAGTTCCCCAAACTTTGCAGCTCTCTCCTTTACAGAGCTGCGGTGGTGTACCAGCTCACTTCCCTTTATGTTTTCACCAGAAGTACTTGTGCTTATTTGCCCCATATCCTGCTCCATGGTGTTGTGAAGGCGCTCAGCCTCCAGTTTGGTCAGGCTGAGCTCCATGTTGCTGGCCACCTTGATTGGGATCGGGCTAGAGATCTCCAACCTGCTCCTAGACTCCCTCTTAGAGCTCCCTCGATTGAGGTTGAAGAAGCCTCTACGTATGCTCATCTCTTCCAGGCTCTTTAACTCTGCCTGGGACATACGCTCTTTCTTCTCTTTCTTGTCTTTCTTGTCCTTCTTGCCCAGGTCCTTTTCCTTCTCCTTCTCCTTGTCTTTCTTAATTAGATTAAACATGCTTGAAGTTTTCTGCAGTCTTTTACCAGTTTGAATTGTTGACAGCGACAGAATGACAGTTTCATACAAATTATTATGAGAGGTACCTGAGAGATAGTAGGTACAGACCTATAATGTCACCTGTAGGGAAGAGGACAGAAGAAGAGGGAGGGGAGAGAATTAAGAAATGATTTGCTGAGAAATTGATAGAACTGTCTAATTCAGTTTGCATGCCGATTATTGGCCAATATTGTTCACTAGACTGGCACATACTGACACATATGACAGAGTAAACTCTTCATAGGATGCTTTTTAATCCATATTTGTCCCATTTAATTTCACATTTAATATGCGTTTCTTATGTTTTGATTTATGGAATATGATATAACCCTTAAAAATCCATTATCGGTTGCCTTCTTGTAACAGTAGACTATAATAAACCTATCCCTACATGGGAGTTGCTATGGTTCACAGTTCTGCTATACTTACGCGCATGATTGTTCAAATTTACATGTTAACATTATTATTCTTGCAACACAAGCATAAGTTTTATCAAATACTGCATCGCACATCATTTCATCTTGCAGTTTCAAGGATCAACACAATCAAAATAATTCAAAACAGGAAGAAAACTGTGCCAGCTGTGTTCAATGTAACTGACACCACCTACTGATGCATTACAGTCTGAAGAAAGGAAATGACCTACAAACATTAATATCCTCTCGATTTGGGATTTATTCTCTCAGTCCTATACCCTGACACATGTGCATGCCATGATACATGTGTTGCCCTACTTACAGTCACTGTTTGGAAGAGCTTTGACCTTATCTGTCCTGCTGTCAAATGCTCAGCATCACCATTTAAAGTGATGCAGAACATTTGTGCATGAGATTCTCCATCGGAGCAGCATTGCATTGCATATACAAAGTCTGCGCGAAGCCATAAACAGTAAATTCGCACTTAATCCACACTTAATCACATCTCCTGAGGTCAGAGAGGCTGTGGAAATAGCCGAAAGCAATTGCTATCACGGCACTTTCCATGTTCTGTGAATATTCTGCTGGTGACTTTTGACAGGAAATGAGAAAACAGTGTTGATTTTTAGCTTTACTGAACTTACTGTACACATGGTATAGATAGGTTGTCGCTGCGACTAGTCCAGAGCTTGGCCGTAATGCTCTCCCTTTAAGCTGCTTTGCCCTCATTCTCCAGCACCAGTGGCCTCAGGGAACACTTTCAGCACAGTGTCAAAATGTCATTCATATAAAATAACGCAGAGCAAACGCTGTTAGCAGACAGGAACCTGACCTACCTGTAACTGCCGGCAAAGGACCGCGTTCTTGTCTTGCTTGAAGTTTTCAGCATTTTCTTCCTTAGAATTGACAGTAGGTGCGAGAAATGTTCTTGTGGTGCCTTCAAATGCCTGCCGTAAGCTCCGACATTAGAATATGATGGTCGTTCGTGAACAACCTAAGGATACAACCAATCTCGTATTTGTGTTTTTAACTTTAAAAAAGAAAACCGTCTATCTGTAGAAAATAAAGACGAAACATCTCACTGAAAATAGAACTTGCTTGTATTATATGCATAGAAGAACATCACAAAAATGAATAATTATTTAAAGAACACTTTAAAGACAGCTTTTACTTGTGCTGGTTTTATGCAGTTCGTATGTACGTGTTACATAGGCAAAACGTGCCAAAATTAGCACTCTTTTTACTATTGTATTTGGGTTGTCAATGCTTAAAGTGCTCTAAAGTGTAGTAATTCCAACAGCACTTTAAGGCAGCACAAGTGTAAACCGGACAGCAGTGACCTCTCCTGGTATTTTTATTACTTACTGGAACACTGGATGTGCAGGTGCAGCACAAGCACAGGTAAATACTTTACCCAGCCTTGTCAGGACTCACCTCATAGAATATTGTAACTTTGATTTGTAATATTAAATGTCATATATTGACATATGTTTGTTTGTGTGATTATAGTCCCAGTTTGTGCCTTTGAGATGTTTGCATTACACTTCAGGCCAAATTCTAATTCTAAAATGTGAGTTCTTAAAGATATATATATTATGGGACACAATTACTATGCAGGACAGCAATAAGATTTTAAATAAGATATATCTGGCCAAGGCAACAAAAATCGAGCCTTTTGTCCCACTCATGTCCCTGCTGTATCGGTTTACACAATTTATATGGGCAAAATAATGAGAATCGAACCAACATAAGAAAATAGATTGATTTGACTATATTTACAGAAACATTTTCATAAAATACTGCACTACATTAATATCAGTGCTTCCCTCAACAGTACACATAATAAACCAGAATGGGGGGGGAAATGCAACATCTCCAAAATCATTCCAAAATTCCAGCTTATTGTTATAAACTCTTACATTGATGAGATTTGAGACTAGAAACAAATACAATGAATCTTTCACAGTTTCTTCCTGAAATTGTGTGAATCATTTTAATAATCGCTGACTTTATAGCTTACTTAAACTGATCCATCCTGAGAAGATTCCAATTTCAATCAGTTTTGAGTTATACAACTGCAATCATAGATGGGAAATATATAGCAAAATAAAGTCTGAAATAATTTACAGCCATGACTTTTTGCCTCTTCCTATTTTGGCCATATTGTGCAGTCTAGTCTTGGTGCGTTCCTTCTCATCTGGATTTCTCTTCGAAGTGCACTCCAGTGTAGAGTCCGTCTCAAAGGAGATGGCCGGGGCCTGGTTTGGGACAATGCTGCTCTTGGTAGAAGTGGTCTGCAGGACGACCCTGCCACGTAAAGAGTGTTTAAGCTCAAGCAAAAGCGGGTTGTTGTCAGAGTATAATTCCATCTGCTGCACAGGGTCTCTGCCTGACACACAGCATGTACAGCATGCAGAGAACAAGACTCTGAAAATATAAATCCAGCCTAAATAATGCAACTCCACAATGTTCAAGATAATGCAACCTAGGCTGACACTGAACATGAAGTTGAGAAAGATGGTCTTCTCTGTTGCTCGAGACACAAAGCAGTCGGTTCTGTTTGGACAGGGGTAAGTCTCACAGTGGAAAAGGTGTGGAACTTCAAATCCAAATAGGTAATACTGCCCAATGAGGAAGATTATCTCCATGATGGAGCGCAGCAAAACATGTATGATGTAGATGAGTAATACCTGGCTGGAGAGCTGGGTCGGGTCCTTTCCTACCTCTCTCATTTCCTCATCCAGCTGGCTCCTCTCCTCACACTCATCTTCCTGTGAGCTCCACTCCTCATTGCTATAGGCTGTGTTATAAAGACTGCCGGCTTCCAGTGTTGTCTCTTTATCTCCCCCTATGTGTCTGTCCCTTTCGAGTGAAGGTGAGGACCTGGGGACCACTTCGACCTTCTTAACCTCCAACGTTTCATTCTTGGTGATTTTTTGCAAGACGTACACAATGTAAAAGATAGAGGGTGTGGAGACGAGAACAATCTGAAAGACCCAAAAGCGCAAGTGTGAGACAGGAGCAAAAGTGTCGTAGCAGACATTGTTGCATCCAGGCTGCAGGGTGTTGCAGGTAAACTTTGACTGCTCATCGCTGTAGACAGCATCCCCCACCAGGGCCACGAGCAAGATGCGGAAGATGAGCAGCATCGTCAGCCATATCTTGCCAATGACTGTGGAATGGTTTTGAACCTCCGTTAGGAAGCGGCCAAGAATGGACCAGTCTCCCATTTCTGTGGAGAAACAACAGTTAAAACATTACCCACAGTATCAGGCAGAATGTTTTTATTAATAGCTCAAACTGAAGTGGTTGCTCATACATCCTGCGCTCCTAAGGAGAAAAATATGACTCAGTAGTCTTACCAAGGAAGCAGGTGCATGAAACCAGATGTATTTGCACATGTGCAGCTTTCAAATATTATCTAGATTTAAATATTGACCTAGAAATCCCCTATGGATATACAGTAAACATAATAAAATAACTTTCTCAGTGTGTCATTATAATTGTAACAATTATAGTTGTAATCAATAATTATTTTATGATATTACATAAGAGCAACTATTGCATTGTTAGTAAGCTGTAAATAACTGTCGGTTTCTCATATTCACAAAAAAGTTTATTTATATTCAATGAGATGCCATTTCCTGTAACAGAAAATTATGTTTCTAAAATTCCTTGGTTCACAAATTTATTCTCAAAAGCCATGTCTAAATTATACTCCTAATTCAAGACTGAATCATGGAATGTATCTTATTAAGAAGGAAAACAAGCTAAAACGTAATTAACTTCTATGAAGTCCATTCTGTTCTCCTGTCCTGAAGGAGCTTACCTTTGGAGAATCTGAGTTTTCCTTATCCAAAGCTGGAAAAATATCAGAGGAAGCAATCTGCATAACTGTATTTTCAAGTGGAGCCTGTTGCTGGATGTTCTCGTGTCTTTTGAGCTGGATGAGGGGAGAATGGGCTGACCACACATATTCCCTAACTCTAACTGAAACGTCCATTGCACTGTATGTGAATAAAGGCTTTCAATGTACAGTGGGACAAAGATTGAAAGGTACAATGGGGGCACCTTTACTGAACAGCCATTCGCAGGCGAGCAGAGAGTTCAAAGAACATACTGGAAAGAGTGTCCACAATACTGATTCATGGGTCTGTGTCCTCTTTAATTATAGAGCTGAAATACAAGTCTAATTTCCCAGAAGATTTCAGTACTTTGGTCTTACTGGATACATCAAAATGTAATGTGAAGAATCCCCACAGCACTGAGAATCAATTTTCATCACACTTATGGTGAAAGTTTGAAGAATTACCAGCAACGTTTGACTAAAAATTGTTGTTGTGGAGCAAAGAATAAAGGCCCACCTCAAATCCTATTCATAAAGGATAATGGTAAACATATTGGCTGGAGAGAGAAATCTTCATTCAGCTGAGCGTGTTATATATAAACTAAAGATCTTTAGTGTTTGAATTTCATTCAAAGTTAGTAGTTTATTTTTTCTTTGGCTGCATGCAGTTTAGAAGAGGAAAGGCTTGTCTGCCTTGAACCTGATTGTTGTATCCAAAGGTAATTATTAGCAGAATGGGAAGGTTTATTTGTAGTTTGATGAGATATTACAGAAAATATGGAATGAGAAAGGGACAATGGGTTATATCTTAT